CAAATAAATCGGAAATCGAGAAACCAAATGCTAGACAAAATTGATTCGATAAAATTGTCAGCATGATATCTAAACAGAGGACTGTACGATCCCTTATCTAAAGGACAAGATTGATTAGATCAGAGTTTGACGACGTCTTTGAGAGCTACGATTGCAAATCGAATTGTACTTGTGCATATAGTTACTAGACTTATCTGTTGGAATAGTGTCTAAGGCTACAACTATATTTGGCAAGTATTTGACCCGGTTGTGCATGGTCCTTTTGGGTTGCCTTCACCATAGCAACTTGACAGGATGATTTATAATGAGAGAAGGAATATTATTAATATATTATAAGTATAATATAAGGAATAATAATATTATTGTTTGATTGATATAAGTCATAAATTAATTGGGAGTTAATTTGGTGGCTTAAAGAGATTAATTAAACAAGGGGGTATAAAGTGTCAATTGTTTGATAGTTGCACTTTGGGCTACATATCCTTTTAAGTTAAGGGTTGGACGAATTCTAGGGCTTAGGATAGCCATAAATTCGTCCAAGGGCTTATCTTGGAAAGGATTTGGAATGCTTTGAGTAATAGTTATCCAGCTAGGGTGAAACTCTAGGAGTCTTACAAGTATAAATAGACCCTTTGGGCAAGGGAAATCGGCACCTCTGAAAAGGCAAAGAAACCCTGGCCAATTTCATCCCCTCTCCTCTCTCACATATCATCCTCTTGCTAGTTGGTGTTTGTAAGCCATTAGAGGAGTGACATTTGTGACTCTAAAGCTCCAAGAATAAGAAGATCAAACAAGTGTCTTGAGGTAAGCTTCTAACTCTGGTTTTGTATTGTTCTTATACTCAATTAGCCATTAGAAGTCTTGGATTCAATGTGTGTTCAATTAGAGAAACTTAGATCCAAGCATTAGGGTTTGCATATGCACATAGGAATGTTCATATGGCCAAAAGCCATCAATTATATGCCAGAACTTAGAACTCGTTTAAAGTTGTCGTTCCCAAAAAAAATACTCATTTTTAACTATTCGATGTTTTTGTGGCATTCATCTAGTTTATGACGATTGTAATGTATATAGATGTTGTAGAAATTTTGTTTTACAAGTAGGTATAGTTATTATATGCAATATGTTACAATGTTTTTAGAAACTTAATTTAATAATGTTTTAGAATTTAAATGTGTTTTAAAGTCAAAAATGTTTTTGAAAAACATATGGTGTGGATGAAAATTTGTTTTGTAACACCATCATTTTTAGTAAATCGGATGCAAAAAAGTAAACACCTAAGATTTAAATCACGACCTCTAATTTAAGCGAGAAATTCACATGCTCCAATTTGGACGATTTAATCATAGACCCAAGCATGAGGCAAATGATGTAACAAAACATACTGCACATTGATAATAGTAAAATTTGAACATTTGCAAAACTTCTGTAGATGGTCATAACATCTATTAACAACTTGTCCCTCCGATCATTCCTAGATAAGGACAACCTTAATGACACAAACATCACCAATTGACATTGTAACTTGAGAATAGTCCTCAAACACTAAACGAAGTCGCATGCAATCAAACTCACGAGACCACATTTGCTGCTTCAAGTACCAACTAGAATAATAAGAATGAAGTCACATGCCTCATGTTGACTAGTATGACCTTAAACATTCAAAAGGATTTGGAGAACTATATGCCATATGAGATGTTGGTGATTTAGGTAGTGTTTGTTTTTTCTCTGCAGATCTGCATGCCCTCTTCTGTCTGCGTCGTGCAGACCACGCGCAGACATTAGCTTTCGCATACTGTTTGTTTTTTTGAAGACTGCAGACCTAAAAATGTTTGCGCGTCCTCTTCTTGGCGCAGATATGGACCAAAGTCTTCTAACATCTTCTATCCTAAAAAAAACATATATATCTTTACTTTTTTAAAGTTTTTTTTTTAATTTATATTTTTTCCAAGTTTATTAATGATAAACAATTTGAAAAAAAAAATTACAAAACTTAAAAAAAAAACTTTCGACAATACAAACATGATATTTTTGACAAATTTATAAATAAATATTTATTACAATAATAGTCGTTGAAGTTGTTTATATAAATATGAAAAAAATCATAATATATTCTTATGTTTTTTACAAATTTTGTAAAACATTATTTAATACTGTATCGTCAATTTCTCGAGAAAATATTTATGGTACAATTTTAATTGATTTAATTGAAAATTGAAAATTTTATTTTCATCCATTTATGTATCAAATTCTTTGATCAGTAATTATAATGTTTAGTTATAACTTTGCAACCAAAGTTGTTTTTTATCAAATATATACGTTAATTCATGCCATTTTTATTTTTATTTTTTATACAATAATACATAAAAGTTGATCTAGATTCATTAATTATTTATAACAAAGTCATAAAAATATTATAAAATCACTTTGAAGTTTAAAAAATTTAGTATTTAGATTTCAGTTTATTTTAGTAGCCCGCGGATGTTAAAAAAACAAACAGTCTTTTTGTTTTTTTTTCAGACTGCAGACGTTTGATCCACCTCTTCTACTGCAGAGGTCTATAGATGTGGTCCGCAGATTGCAGACATTTTGCCTCAGAAAAAACAAATAGCACCTTAGTGTCACCAAACATTTAATTATAATTGGAATTACATTTGAGCTTAGGGGCTTTTAAGTTTGTACTCTATAATGTAGGTGCGGTGTGTGAGGGGTGCACACATATATAAGATCGAATTAAAAGCCGATATGACAAAATGACGGGGGACAAGAAGTCGCGCCCCCTTGCGGGGTCCGTGGGGCAGAGCCCCTGGCGGTGGTCCCGTTGTTCATCGTTAGTTTTGGAAACCACCAATCACTCCACTAGTCGAGGGATTGTTTGACTGGCTCAATGGTGGCCAACCCTAAAATGCAACCCTAATTCGTAATTATAAAAGCAACGTTTCTCATTGAGAAAGAAAACACAACTTTCTAAGCTCTCTCTTCTCCATACTTCATAGAATACTCTAGCAATTTGGATTTTGTTTTCTATGCCTAGAAACAAAATTGTCCTTTTGGATTATCCTAGGTTGGATTTCCTGTAAGCCAAGCATAAGATGGAAATATCAATTCGGAAAGCAAACTCACGCGATCCATTGGAAATCCGGATCTCCACTACAAACCCTATATTATCCAACAAAAGATGCTTCACCAGAGGAAGATATGTTTCAACAAGCTAATTTGGAATTCTATGATATTGTCAAAGTGTTCCATGCATGCATAATGAAGGAATATCAATATGTTGGTTCTCATGTCATTGCCACATTGACAAACCATAGAGCTTTAACAAACATCTCACTACAAACAAAATGATATTTAGTGGCATACATTTTTAATGGCATATCCTTTTTATGCCACTATAGTATGTTTTTAGTGGCATATTTTATATGCCACTATAAAATTAATAGATTTAATAAAACTTAACTAAAAATTTATGCCACTAATATTAATAAGAAGCGCCCTAAAGTTATTAAAATGTCTATTTTCAAACAGTCTTTGTGTTGTCTTTCTCGCGTCTCACCGTAGATCCATCGATCGAGATGCTTCAAGTAGCTCCCTTCGAGAACTAATGATTGAGAACTATAAACGCAAGAACACTAACTGATCGCCTATTCAAGATCTCAAAGGCGGTTCCTACAAGTTAATCAATCATTCAATTGTAAGATTTTATTCTTCATCTTCTCTTGTTGTCATTTCTCATCTGTGTCCTCCTCTATCACCGGTAATTGTTGTCCAACCCCACTCTTTGTCACTAAGGAAGGCCGAGAATCGGCATCGCTTGGCGTCCCTCAGCCCCAAACCCTCCCCTCCAGTACTCGTGAACCCTAGGGGTGGTCAAAATCGCTTTTAGGCCGAAGGTTGTTATGGATTTCATCTATATTTTAGTTTCAGTTCGTTGCTTATTACATTTGCATCCTCTACCACTGTTCAAAGTTTTTATTTTTTCCTACTTTATTAGTCGAACACCAAGTGTTCGATGAAATTCCTTAATGAGAAAGAACAATATATATGCCTTTTATTCGTCACTGTTATGACAATTGTAACTTTGTTTTTCTTTTTTTGTTAATTTTGAAGGTGAAGTAGGAAAAGAAGGATGTATCATAAGAAGTTTGAGCACCCTGTACATGGTTCCCATGGATTTTTATCCAGGGAAACATGTTGCTCTCTATAGAGGGAGAGGTATACATTTTTTTGTTGTGAACAATGATGTTTCCTCCTTAATTTGGTATTATTGGCTGCTTTTACTTAATCCTTATTGGCATAATCACTTGAGCTACTGATAATCTTAGACCTAAAAGCACATTCTGATATGATAAAGTCTTTTTGTCTTTTTCATTAGACTTTAATCAAAACCAGATGATGTAACATCTCAAAGGATTTCTTATGCAATGCCTTTATTAGTTAGGAATTTGTACTTGTATATTCAACTTATGTGTGTAATGGTCGTGACATGGTAAGCATTCGAAGATATGCAATGAGTTGTCTTTATTGAATTCATTAAAAGAAGTTTACTTTACTTACTTATCAATCATTTCTTCCTTATGTTCGTTGTAGTGAAGGATTTCACCAAAGATAACCCAACCAAACCATTCAAGCTACCTACTTTCTTGGGTTACAAAGATGGGATGACTTATATTTTCGGAGATGTCGAGAAACTTGGTTCAAGTTAGTTTTTGGGAAAAAAGAGTTATTAAAATCTATAGAGCTTCACAAGGAGACATGACTGTTACTATCATCGAGACCTTTCTCATGGTAGTGTTAGAGTGGTAGCTTGTGTCAAGACACCACGTTGTCTTTGTTCTTTGCTTGAATTTGTTAAAAGAGTAACTAATTGTGAGAATCCTTGCCTAATGCCCTATATAGTAATAATAATAATAATAATAATAATAATAATAATAATAATAATAATAATATAATGTATAGTTAGTTATCTTTGTTTGTGGATAAGTAGTAAAGTATATATGATGACTGTTGACTCTAGGACAGGTACAGGTCCATACATGGGAGGTGGAGCAGGTAATGCCAGTCATAAAGGTAGTCTTCATCTGGCTGCATACCTAATGCCCCGTGTGGATCTTCCAGCATATCATGGTGGCCTATTATCTCAGTCAGTCATCAGTCATCAGTGGGTGGTGGTCCATTATCTCAGCCAGGATATGTTTTTAACGTTAGTATTCTTCTCCCTCCATATTTGTTAATATTTTGCCCCACTTGTCAAGTCCTGTCCCATATAACAAATGCAGCCTGCATGTTCTAGATTTTGTTGGTTGACTCATAAACTTAATTTAAGAGGACTGACTGACTTGTGTTTTTTGTGATAGATGACTCAAGGGCTAGCACAAACATTTCGTGATGGCTTCTCGGTTGGAGGCATGTCACAGGTAATCTCTCTCTCTCTCTCTCTCTCTCTCTCTCTCTCTCAAGTAACTATTCTTAGTTTCTTTTACCTCTAGATAATTTGTTCAATAATCATATGAGAACATGAGGGAAGAAGACTTCAGGTAAGGGGTGTGGCTTACTCATTGTTATGTCCTTCTTTCTGAAAGCATCAAGTCTAAAGAAATAGAAACACTTGTGTCATGTATATTCAAAAAGAAACAACAACTTAATATTCTTGAAAAAAAAATGCAGGATTTCTTGGGTGATGATTTTTGGTAAATAACGGATTTGGACCTGGAAATCGTAAATCATCAGAAGGGAATCTGAAAGAATCTTTGAGATCAATCGATCCCAGACTCGTAAATATCCGTTCCAAAGGTACGTTTTCCATATATTTCCATTGTTAAATGTTAAACTATTCACTCTTACATCATCATCATAAAAGTAAGTTATTGAATTTATCTTGATTTGTACAGTTGTGGACTCGTTTGAGTTGATTGATCAGGATTATGTTTTGGTATCTGGTCCACTAGGGGATACTTCATCTGTATCAAGTGTTAGTAAAGTGAGCCAAAAACCATTTAAATCAGGAAGCCCACCTGTACATTCTAGGGTGAACATTCATTCAACACCTAGTGTACCTTTACCCATCATTGGTGGGACCTGTAGTAAAATCCGGTTGACCGGGAGCTTTGAAAGTCAATGCTATGCACCCTCTGGAACATCTCATGGATCGGTTGATATAGTTGATGCTTTAGAACAACCATCAATTGACAGCATGGCAATAATCAAGTCATTGCTATCTCTGACTTGGTCAACGAGAAGGTGTGTCGGAAAACATTTTATACTTTAAATGCTACTTTGATGCTTTCTGTAAATTAGTTTACTTTTTGTTTCTGATTGTTTTATTTTGGTATGTGAAGATGAAAAGCAAGCTATGGATCACAACTTGTGTCACACCCCAAAACCAAGAACGGCAGAAACATTCCGGGGTGGAGGACGTCATGTACAGTATCACAACAGTGTAAAGTAGTAAATAAGCAACAACATCATCCATTGCATTATAAGTAAAGTTTTAATACATGTGTGTTCTTTCATTGTAATAAGACACCAAAAATATACAATCAAAATAAAAGACGAGACTTGTCTGTGCTCCGTCTTCTCAAAAACCTGGCCATCGTACCTGTCTACTGGTGACCTGAGAATACAAGTTATTTTGAAAGAGAGTATCAACTTAAGCTAGTGAATTCATAAATATTTAAGTGTCATTGTCTTGTTTTGAAAAGTTGTTATGAATGCCATCTTTAAATGAAGAAGTTGATGTAAGTATGAAAAACCATAGAAAATCCCTTATTTCCTATTAGTACGAGTTGTAGTCTTCTACCAATACCCGAATGTTTTGTAAGTAAAATGATAGTTTTTCCTTTCTATTGAATAGTACTAAAAGTACTTAGTCTAACTCCTCGTTTATGTGATTGTATCACAAAATAAAGTAAATAGGAAAAGTACTAATGTAAGTGTTATCCGGAGGTACTAGGGCTAACACGACATCGCGGTAAGCGAAATGAATAACCTAATGAACATCCGAAGATTATCCAATTGTCCTCTGTAGCAGCAACAGGGAGGAGGAAGGGTTAGTCCCGTAATTGACTCCTAATATAAGTAGTAACCATAGGCATCCGTAGATGTTCATCACCCACTGGTGCTAATAGCTGGGTTCCGGAATGGTTAGTCCCGTCTAGACATCCCTTCGAACTGGAATAGGCAAAAAAATTTACACAGAATGTACGAATAAATCTTCCTCGTAACTCTAGGTACAAGTATCCAGGTAAGTGAATACAGGATAATGTATCTATGTAATGGTACTCATGTAATGTATTCATGTAAGCGTGTTCATGTATCAACTAAGCATATGTAAACGTACTCATGTATCATGTAAGTATATGTAAATGTACTCATGTATTAGGTAATGTACTGGTATAGACTCATGAATGAACTGACTCTTGTGTGATTCCTTGTAATAGAAATGATGGTTTGTATCTTCTAACTATCCCTATGATAATTAACTGAAAGATAATTGGTTGTTCAAGTAGTTTATACACCCTTACTACACAAGAGTGTGGGAAACTGAATGAAGGATGAAAACTATAATCTCAAAACATTTATATGAACATAAGTGTATAAGTATAGTTTTGTTTCATGAAGGTAAAAATAATGGTTTTGTAAGATATCTAAGAGTTTTGAACAATAATTAAGAGTGACTTGATGTCATTTTAATAAACATTTCAAAAATAATACTTTTGTTATCATGGTATTTTAAGATAGAAAACCATTTCATGTATCACATTTTGAAGTATGTGAAATCTACTGGGTGAAAACATAGTTATAAAATACATAAGAGTGATTTAGTAACATACTGTTTTCTACTTGTATTCCCCCCCCCCCCCACATTAAAGCATTTAAAATTATTTAAAACATTGATTAAGGGGTATGAACTCACCTGTAGTGAGTGGCACGGATGAACTGAAGATGTAGGATCTCTAGGTGACAAGTGAAGTCTTGAACACACTTTATTACCCTAGTTAACATATAATACCACATATATGTATCCAATTAGTCTTAAACTACTAATTGATAATGTTAAGACATCCTAGAACATAATAAACACCTTATATAAGTGTTATAAGCCCTAAGGATTGCATCTAAATTGTTGTGGGACAAGGCTATTGGGTTTAGGGTTCCAAAGGACCCTATACATGAGTTTACTCTTCCATAAACATCACACAAGGATTTTACGGTCATAAACCCTTGTGTTTACGGTCGTGAACTCCTAAGCTTGGTGTTATTTTGTGCTTTGAGGTTCTAAATGATCCCTAGAAGTATTCCAACTTGGTGGTTAATTTCTTGGGAGGGTTTAGGGCATAGATACACTCCTTTGAGGAGTTTACGGCCCCAAGGCCAATTCCCTTTGAGTTTACTGCCGTAAACTCATATGGAAGGGGATATTTTTATGTTTTCAAGTCCCTTGTTCATGTAGGATAGGTTCCATACATTTATCTAAGTCTAATGAAGGCCTTAGGCACACATTGGTGCCCTTCTTTCATGTTTACGACCCAAGAACAATATTAGGGCCATAATCCCTCTTTGAGAGAGGTTTTTGATGTTTTAAATTCCTTGATTTATGTAGGAGTAAACCTAGGTAATTGTCCAAGACTTTAGGAGTGCCAAAAGCACTCTTTGGTCCATGTTTTTGGAGTTCACGGTCCAAGATCTTCTTGGGCCGTGAACACCCAAACTTTGGTGTTTCATTGTTGTTTTCTTGTCCCAATTACACCTATATACAAGCCTAAGGTAGTAACATATCACGGGGGAAAGGCTAGGCATTGTTTCGGGAGTTTACCGCCCAAGAACACCTTGGGGAGTAAACTCCTAAATCTAGTTGTTTAGCTATGTAATCTAAGTTATACACACATTATAAGCTACATAACACTACTAGAGAGAGGTACTCACGATTTGGGATGAAAACCCGAAGATCCGTGAGAGAGAAAATGGCTTTTCTCTAGTTGGAAATGTAACGAATGAATAAATATGGTTCAGATTTCTATTTATAGTCCTAAGATTTTTGGCAGAAAATATTTTATTCCCGGAATGAACTCTAATATCATAGAGTATTGGAATAACATTGTTGCACAAAACCCTAGTGCATCCACTCTCCTGATATCTCCTTAAGTGTTAAACCTGAAATACTCAAACTTATACCTACAGTCTGGAATTTCTTTGTAACTGTTCCAACTTCTATTGGCTTGATATGGTTTGTTCAGAATGAAAATTTCGGGTTGTCACATCATCCCCCTGTTAAAGGGAATTTCGTCCCAAAATTAGAATTTAGGCAAGGAAGTAGGTAGAAGTGATCCAGTCGTTAAGTGAATTTCCTAATCGATTGGTTCTCACGTTCCCAAGTGAAATCGGGTTCTCGGTTGGTATCCCAACGAACCTTCACTAACGGGCGACGGCGTTGCTTCATCCGCTTGACCACTTGGTCGATGGTCACTACGGTTCTAATACGAAGGTGAGGATCTCGTAAATCTCAATCTCGTCGAGAGGGCTTACGAAAGTCCTAATGGATAGGTACTGCTTCAAGTTCAGGACGCGAAGGGTAAAATGTACGTTACTAAGTTTGCAGGGGTAGGTCTAGTTTGTGAGATGCGGGACCGATTCTGGTAAGAATCTCGGAGGTCCTAACTACATTGGATTTAGCTTTCCATGCTTTACAAAGCGTATTAAGCCGTTACCAGAGTGAGGTTTCCTAAAGAATTTGGTCTCTCACTTGGAATTCCAAAGGTTCTTTCTCTCGCTTAACTTCCCAGTCAAGGACCGCCCCTTGTTGGGTCAAAGTCAAAAGGGTTTCTGAAATTTGCAAGGAGATCTGAATGGACTATGATAGTAGGTCTGTAAGACCTAGAATTTGGTGAATTTTCTGTCGGTGACTACGGTGCCGACAAATTCCCAACGGTTTTGGATAATTTGCCAGAGTACTCAAAAATTTCCACATCACTAATAATGTGTCTCAGGAAATTTGACCCTTTAATTCCAAAACTCATGTTTAGAGAACTTGGCGAAAGTATCTCCGAGGTTAATGTTTCTATGGGTTCTTTCTTACTACGAGGGTAGATAAGTAAGTCATTACATGGAGAAATGACGAACTGATCCCAGTAAGAAAGGCGTACTCCACTTATTTAGCTCATGAATATGATGGGCGTATTGGTCCTATCCGAGGGGTATCACTACGGACTCAAAATGTCCGCATCGAGTTCGGAGGTTAGTCTTCAGGACATCCTTCCCTATCACTCGAACTGGTGATATTCGGATCTCAGGTCCATTTCTGAAAGTAACTCTTTCCCTGTGTTTGTTCAATCATCTTGTCTACACGAGGCAGAGACAATGATTTCTAATGGAAATCTTAATTAAGTGTTCGGTCGTCGAGGTACATATGATGCACTCCATCAACTTCTGGTAAGAATAAGACCGGAGATCTCAAGGGTGAGAAGCCTGGTCTTCTAATTCTATTATTGAGTAGTTCGCTGTGTTGTCCGGGCTGTTCTTGTATCTTCCGTAGGTGTTTAGATTGTAAGGCGATCTGGTTATAAGAGTCATATTGGGTTCTAAGTTTGTTCCTACGTCAATGCAATTACTTGTACTCTTGGACAGTCTCCGTCCTGAAGTTCATATTAGAATTCATACATGGTTCATTGATCACAATCTCGTGTATACGAGTCGTATATAATTAAGATTGAAAAGGTAGTCGAATAACTGATTCTTCCTTAATCTCACATCCCATCGAGAGAAAAGAAGTTAAAGTGGAATCATCAATTCTAAACCTGTAGAACATTGATTATATATCACTCTCTTGTATACATTCTTCAGTGATAGATCAACCGTATGAATCCTGGAATTGAACTTGACATACTGCACGAGTAATAATGTGTGGATTCCTTCGGAAAGGAAAAGAACTATAAGGTACTTCATGCACGAGTACCTCGGTGTTCTGATATGACGTCTTCGCTAAAGGACGTTTACTGAGAAAGAGATGTACTTATGAAGCTGGTATTGCGAGGATCGAATTTTATTCGAGTCATATGATAAAGTCGGAATCATATGGAAACTAAAGACCTTAGATTTGAAAATAAGGCGTTACAGACAAAACACAACAGTGCAACTTTTAACAGAGTTACTGAACTTAGGATTTACTACAAGACTATTGCTGCGAACAAGGTATACTACAAAAGACAAGTATACACAGCACGAGCATCCTTAAACGGAAGGGATCCCACAAAAGATAAGACTCTGGTTGCACTAGTTTTGGGATGGTTCATAAGTCTGTTACAACGAAACGCCTAAATTACAATAACGTGGGTCCGGAGTAGACTCTCCTGCAGTGGTGGTCGGTAGCATACTTCTGTCTGTGCCAGCATCTGCTGCCTCTGGGCAGTTCTTTCTATAGTGACCTACCTTGCCATAACCATAGCAAGCTTGGTTTACACTGGTGCTAGGAACTTGGTTGTTTAGCCTTGCTAGGCTCTTGCAGTAACGCTTGGTGTGACCCTTTCTATTGCAGTGTGAGCACTGCATCTCCCTACAAGGTCCATGGTGGTGAAAACTACATTGAATGCATTTTGGGAGATTTCCAGCATAAAGTTTGGCTGGTTTAGGGACAATTGGGATGCCCGAAGGGATGGTAGTAGGAGGTATTGATGTCGTGGCTGTGAAGGTTGTTACTGGTGGTTGTTTCCTGTTCGCCCTTCAAAGCGACTTGTCCTTAGATTTATTCCAAGACTTTCGTTTGTTACTCCTGGTCTTATGACTCGAGGTTTCGTGGTAGTTTGTTGCTCGTTGAGGTGCTTGATTGTTACTTGGATTGGAATTGTTGTTAACAATCCCGCTAACACTTGGGTTGTTAGCGTTCATGTGGGTCAGAAAAGTTGACACGGCAGCCGAGACTGCAGCTTGAAAGGTAACTGTATCAATCTGAAGAGTTAGTGTTTGGTTGATGGGCTGATCGTTTTTCTTGGGCGACATGATTCTGTTACACCGAAAGAAATGAATTTGTGAGCGAAAATGGTTGAATCTAGACGTAGTTCGATCGCTCATGCAAAGAGTAGAAGTATGTTCTCTAAGGTTCGACCTACATCCCTATGATGCAGTCCTAGTACAGAATGGAAGTATGTTCACGACGGTTTGACCTACATCCCTATGATGCATTCCTAGTAAAGATCGGAAGTAAGTTCTTACAATGGTCTCAAGATGTTTGTTGTGCGAACCGAGGTATTGTTGTTTGGTGAATAACATGATCCAACCATTAAAAGAGACTTGGAAATGTCTCCGGAGTTAACTTGCTATAGTCCAATGACTTGACTAAAGCATGTTTCAGATAGACTCAAATGAAAATATGATAAGAGTATTTGAATAAAGAATGACACAGGAGTTAGCCGACTGTCAATATCTTTGGTATTCATAACATACAGGTTCGGGAAAATGACCTTGTAACAAGGTCTTACATCATATCCAGAGAAGATAGTTCTTGACAGCATAAAGACCTAACCAAAAGTACTTACAGCACAAGATAGTTTCATAGGAAATGCCACGTTGGGCATAGACAGAAACACGATTCCTTTCTAGCAAGGAATATAAAGTAAAGTATCTACTACTAGCGACGGTCATCCCTCTGCTGAACTCTATGTCCAACCAGTTGGCGTTCCACATCAAGTAGGTGTCTTTCGTACACTCTCTGGCGTACTCGAAGTTCTATGACTTAGGCTCGTGATTGAGCCAGTGCTTGCAGCAGGGTTTCATGGTCTCTCTCAGACCTCTCACGAGCATGTTCAAGGCGACTGGTGCAAAGCATATGCATTCCTCCATTTGTATCAGCTTTTGCGATATGTTGTAGGGCTGTCCTGCCCTGAATTTCGTTTCGGGCAACTCTTCGGATCAGAATTGGTAGAACTCTGTCTACTGAGCTCCCTTCACTTACGTTGTAGAAACTTTGGTCTCTATTGAACGGCATAGGTTGATCTTGATCTTCGCTCCATGTTTCCAAACATTCCACCCATGGAGGCGTCGGGCCATGAAAAGTCGGACGAGGGTTAGGAATTGGAAAAGGAGCTGTCTGAGGTAGGTTCTCAACCTCGGGTTCGGAGATATCACCATCTGAAAGGTCTTCAGCATGGTGATCATTCAGAGGGATCGGATGATCATTATCTGGTTCTTCTCCAAACCATCCAGCAATAACCGCGTTCAGAAGGAACAGGTTGCCGTGAGGATGGAGTCCAGCCATGTTATCTACGCGAGAATTTGGGGTAAAAAAATAATTATTAGACGAACTATCTAGATAATTATTTAGGAAACCTTCATTAGTTACATCGCTATTTGTAAAGTGCATACCAGTTATATGTAATCAACACAAGATAGGCCTTCGAATAAGTGACCTTAACTCCAAATTCACAAGGAATAGGGGTAAAGCAAAAATTTCACCGATTCTAAGTCTATAACATCCTATTTACATATAACTTTAGTGTATCCACTTAGCAGCTATCAACTTGGTAATGAAGATCCCGCTTTAGTTCTCAAGTATAAAGTACTTATAGTAACACAAAACACCCCTATGGTATTTTAGACTTAGGTCCTGTTATAATGTTCTCTTTGTGGTAATGTTGGTAAGTTTTCAGACTTGTTGCAGTATCACAACCATTCTTGGGCATGTGCTAATCACTCCTTGGAACAACATAGTTGATCAGGCTATGCCACTCCTAAGACTGACCATACATCCCCGAGCTTACCTGTGATATTCAACAATCGCAATACTTTTGTTCTTGTCATTGTGACATGGATTTTAGTATGAATGCAGGCACGTATACTTTGTTAAATATTTTATTATTTAAAAGTATATACTCTTAGACAAATTGTTTTAATCCCATGTATTTATAGTTAGTATATCTTTTATGGGTTGATATACTTAATTCACTATAAACAGTGCTCTGATACCAATCTGTCACACCCCAAAACCAAGAATGACGGAAACGTTCTGGGATGGAGGACGTCATGTACAGTATCAAAACAGTGTAAAGTAGTAAATAAGCAACAACATCATCCATTGCATTATAAGTAAAGTTTTAATACATGTGTGTTCTTTCATTGTAATAAGACACCAAGATATACAATCAAAATAAAAGACGAGACTTGTCTGTGCTCCATCTTCTCAAGAACCTGGCCATCGTACCTGTCTACTGGTGACCTGAGACTACAAGTTATTTTGAAAGAGAGTATCAGCTTAAGCTGGTGAATTCATAAGTATTTAAGTGTCATTGTCTTGTTTTGAAAAGTTGTTATGAATGCCATGTAAATCTTTAAATGAACAAGTTGATATAAGTATGAAAAACCCTAGAAAATCCCTTATTTCCTATTAGTATGAGCTGTAGTCTTCTACCAAGACCCGAATGTTTTGTAAGTAAAATGATAGTTTTTCCTTTCTATTGACTAGTTCTAAAAGTACTTAGTCTAACTCCTCGTTTATGTGATTGTATCACAAAATAAAGTAAATGGGAAAAGTACTAATGTAAGTGTTATCCGGAGGTACTAGGGCTAACACGACATCGCGGTAAGCGAAATGAATAACCTAATGAACATCTGAAGATTTTCCAATTGTCCTTTGTAGCAGCAATAGGGAGGAGGAAGGGTTAGTCCCGTAATTGACTCCTAATATATGTAGTAACCGTAGGCATCCGTAGATGTTCATCACCCATTGGTGCTAACAGCTGGGTTCCGGAATGGTTATGCCCTTCTTTCTGAAAGTATCAAGTCAAAAGAAATAGAAACACTTGTGTCATGTATATTCAAAAAGAAACAACAACTTAATTTTCTTGAAACAAAATGCAAAATTTTTTGGGTGATGATTTTTGGTAAATAACGGATTTGGACCTGGAAATCGTAAATCATCAGAAGGGAATGTGAAAGAATCTTTGAGATCAATCGATCCCAGACTCGTAAATATCCGTTCCAAAGGTACGTTTTCCATATATTTCCATTGTTAAATGTTAAACTATTCACTTTCTTACATCATCATCATAAAAGTAAGTTATTGAATTTATCTTGATTTGTACAGTTGTGGACTCGTTTGAGTTGATTGATCAGGATTATGTTTTGGTATCTGGTCCACTAGGGGATACTTCATCTGTAGCAAGTGTTAGTAAAGTGAGCCAAAAACCATTTAAATCAGGAAGCCCACCTGTACATTCTAGGGTGAACATTCATTCAACACCTAGTGTACCTTTGCCCATCATTGGTGGGACCTGTAGTAAAATCCGGTTGACCGGGAGCTTTGAAAGTCAATGCTATGCACCCTCTGGAACATATCATGGATCGGTTGATATAGTTGATGCTTTAGAACAACCATCAATTGACAGCATGGCAATAATCAAGTCATTGCTATCTCTGACTTGGTCAACGAGAAGGTGTGTCGGAAAACATTTTATACTTTAAATGCAACTTTGATGCTTTCCGTAAATTAGTTTACTTTTTGTTTCTGATTGTTTTATTTTGGTATGTGAAGATGCAAAGCAAGCTATGGATCACAACTTGTGTCACACCCCAAAACCAAGAACAGCGGAAATGTTCCGGGGTGGAGGACGTCATGTACAATATCACAACAGTGTAAAGTAGTAAATAAGCAACAACATCATCCATTGCATTATAAGTAAAGTTTTAATACATGTGTGTTCTTTCATTGTAATAAGACACCAAAAATATACAATCAAAATAAAAGACGAGACTTGTCTGTGCTCCGTCTTCTCAAAAACCTGGCCATCGTACCTGTCTACTGGTGACCTGAGACTACGAGTTATTTTGAAAGAGAGTATCAGCTTAAGCTGGTGAATTCATAAGTATTTAAGTGTCATTGTCTTGTTTTGAAAAGTTGTTATGAATGCCATGTAAATCTTTAAATGAAAACGTTGATATAGGTATGAAAAACCATAGAAAATCCCTTATTTCCTATTAGTATGAGTTGTAGTCTTCTACCAAGACCCGAATGTTTTGTAAGTAAAATGATAGTTTTTCCTTTCTATTGACTAGTTCTAAAAGTACTTAGTCTAACTCCTCGTTTATGTGATTGTATCACAAAATAAAGTAAATAGGAAAAGTACTAATGTAAGTGTTATCCGGAGGTACTAGGGCTAACACGACATCGCGGTAAGCGAAATGAATAACCTAATGAACATCTGAAGATTTTCCAATTGTCCTTTGTAGCAGCAGCAGGGAGGAGGAAGGGTTAGTCCCGTAATTGACTCCTAATATATGTAGTAACCGTAGGCATCCGTAGATGTTCATCACCCATTGGTGCTAACAGCTGGGTTCCGGAATGGTTATGCCCTTCTTTCTGAAAGCATCAAGTCAAAAGAAATAGAAACACTTGTGTCATGTATATTCAAAAAGAAACAACAACTTAATTTTCTTGAAACAAAATGCAGGATTTTTTGGGTGATGATTTTTGGTAAATAACGGATTTGGACCTGGAAATCGTAAATCATCAGAAGGGAATGTGAAAGAATCTTTGAGATCAATCGATCCCAGACTCGTAAATATCCGTTCCAAAGGTATGTTTTCCATATATTTCCATTGTTAAATGTTAAACTATTCACTTTCTTACATCATCATCATAAAAGTAAGTTATTGAATTTATCTTGATTTGTACAGTTGTGGACTCGTTTGAGTTGATTGATCAGGATTATGTTTTGGTATCTGGTCCACTAGGGGATACTTCATCTGTAGCAAGTGTTAGTAAAGTGAGCCAAAAACCATTTAAATCAGGAAGCCCACCTGTACATTCTAGGGTGAACATTCATTCAACACCTAGTGTACCTTTGCCCATCATTGGTGGGACCTGTAGTAAAATCCGGTTGACCGGGAGCTTTGAAAGTCAATGCTATGCACCCTCTGGAACATATCATGGATCGGTTGATATAGTTGATGCTTTAGAACAACCATCAATTGACAGCATGGCAATAATCAAGTCATTGCTATCTCTGACTTGGTCAACGAGAAGGTGTGTCGGAAAACATTTTATACTTTAAATGCAACTTTGATGCTTTCCGTAAATTAGTTTACTTTTTGTTTCTGATTGTTTTATTTTGGTATGTGAAGATGCAAAGCAAGCTATGGATCACAACTTGTGTCACACCCCAAAACCAAGAACAGCGGAAATGTTCCGGGGTGGAGGACGTCATGTACAGTATCACAACAGTGTAAAGTAGTAAATAAGCAACAACATCATCCATTGCATTATAAGTAAAGTTTTAATACATGTGTGTTCTTTCATTGTAATAAGACACCAAAAATATACAATCAAAATAAAAGACGAGACTTGTCTGTGCTCCGTCTGCTCAAAAACCTGGCCATCGTACCTGTCTACTGGTGACCTGAGACTACGAGTTATTTTGAAAGAGAGTATCAGCTTAAGCTGGTGAATTCATAAGTATTTAAGTGTCATTGTCTTGTTTTGAAAAGTTGTTATGAATGCCATGTAAATCTTTAAATGAAAAAGTTGATATAGGTATGAAAAACCATAGAAAATCCCTTATTTCCTATTAGTATGAGTTGTAGTCTTCTACCAAGACCCGAATGTTTTGTAAGTAAAATGATAGTTTTTCCTTTCTATTGACTAGTTCAAAAAGTACTTAGTCTAACTCCTCGTTTATGTGATTGTATCACAAAATAAAGTAAATAGGAAAAGTACTAATGTAAGTGTTATCCGGAGGTACTAGGGCTAACACGACATCGCGGTAAGCGAAATGAATAACCTAATGAACATCTGAAGATTTTCCAATTTTCCTTTGTAGCAGCAGCAGGGAGGAGGAAGGGTTAGTCCCGTAATTGACTCCTAATATATGTAGTAACCGTAGGCATCCGTAGATGTTCATCACCCACTGGTGCTAACAGCTGGGTTCCGGAATGGTTATGCCCTTCTTTCTGAAAGCATCAAGTCAAAAGAAATAGAAACACTTGTGTCATGTATATTCAAAAAGAAACAACAACTTAATTTTCTTGAAACAAAATGCAGGATTTTTTGGGTGATGATTTTTGGTAAATAACGGATTTGGACCTGGAAATCATAAATCATCAGAAGGGAATGTGAAAGAATCTTTGAGATCAATCGATCCTAGACTCGTAAATATCCGTTCCAAAGGTACGTCTTCCATATATTTCCATTGTTAAATGTTAAACTATTCACTTTCTTACATCATCATCATAAAAGTAAGTTATTGAATTTATCTTGATTTGTACAGTTGTGGACTCGTTTGAGTTGATTTATCAGGATTATGTTTTGGTATCTGGTCCACTAGGGGATACTTCATCTGTAGCAAGTGTTAGTAAAGTGAGCCAAAAACCATCTAAATCAGGAAGCCCACCTGTACATTCTAGGGTGAACATTCATTCAACACCTAGTGTACCTTTGCCCATCATTGGTGGGACCTGTAGTAAAATCCGGTTGACCGGGAGCTTTGAAAGTCAATGCTATGCACCCTCTGGAACATCTCATGGATCAGTTGATATAGTTGATGCTTTAGAACAACCATCAATTGACAACATGGCAATAATCAAGTTATTGCTATCTCTGACTTGGTCAACGAGAAGGTGTGTCGGAAAACATTTTATACTTTAAATCCTACTTTGATGCTTTCTGTAAATTAGTTTACTTTTTGTTTCTGATTGTTTTATTTTGGTATGTGAAGATGAAAAGCAAGCTATGGATCACAACTTGTGTCACACCCCAAAACCAAGAACGGCAGAAACGTTCCGGGGTGGAGGACGTCATGTACAGTATCACAACGGTGTAAAGTAGTAAATAAGCAACAACATCATCCATTGCATTATAAGTAAAGTTTTAATACATGTGTGTTCTTTCATTGTAATAAGACACCAAAAATATACAATCAAAATAAAAGACGAGAATTGTCTGTGCTCCGTCTTCTCAAAAACATGGCCATCGTACCTGTCTACTGGTGACCTGAGACTACAAGTTATTTTGAAAGAGAGTATCAGCTTAAGCTGGTGAATTCATAAGTATTTAAGTGTCATTGTCTTGTTTTGAAAAGTTGTTATGAATGCCATGTAAATCTTTAAATGAAAACGTTGATATAGGTATGAAAAACCATAGAAAATCCCTTATTTCCTATTAGTATGAGTTGTAGTCTTCTACCAAGACCCGAATGTTTTGTAAGTAAAATGATAGTTTTTCCTTTCTATTGACTAGTTCTAAAAGTACTTAGTCTAACTCCTCGTTTATGTGATTGTATCACAAAATAAAGTAAATAGGAAAAGTACTAATGTAAGTGTTATCCGGAGGTACTAGGGCTAACACGACATCGCGGTAAGCGAAATGAATAACCTAATGAACATCTGAAGATTTTCCAATTGTCCTTTGTAGCAGCAGCAGGGAGGAGGAAGGGTTAGTCCCGTAATTGACTCCTAATATATGTAGTAACCGTAGGCATCCGTAGATGTTCATCACCCATTGGTGCTAACAGCTGGGTTCCGGAATGGTTATGCCCTTCTTTCTGAAAGCATCAAGTCAAAAGAAATAGAAACACTTGTGTCATGTATATTCAAAAAGAAACAACAACTTAATTTTCTTGAAACAAAATGCAGGATTTTTTGGGTGATGATTTTTGGTAAATAACGGATTTGGACCTGGAAATCGTAAATCATCAGAAGGGAATGTGAAAGAATCTTTGAGATCAATCGATCCCAGACTCATAAATATCCGTTCCAAAGGTACGTTTTCCATATATTTCCATTGTTAAATGTTAAACTATTCACTTTCTTACATCATCATCATAAAAGTAAGTTATTGAATTTATTTTGATTTGTATAGTTGTGGACTCGTTTGAGTTGATTGATCAGGATTATGTTTTGGTATCTGGTCCACTAGGGGATACTTCATCTGTAGCAAGTGTTAGTAAAGTGAGCCAAAAACCATCTAAATCAGGAAGCCCACCTGTACATTCTAGGGTGAACATTCATTCAACACCTAGTGTACCTTTGCCCATCATTGGTGGGACCTGTAGTAAAATCCGGTTGACCGGGAGCTTTGAAAGTCAATGTTATGCACCCTCTGGAACATTTCATGGATCGGTTGATATAGTTGATGCTTTAGAACAACCATCAATTGACAGCATGGCAATAATCAAGTCATTGCTATCTCTGACTTGGTCAACGAGAAGGTGTGTCGGAAAACATTTTATACTTTAAATGCTACTTTGATGCTTTCTGTAAATTAGTTTACTTTTTGTTTCTGATTGTTTTATTTTGGTATGTGAAGATGAAAAGCAAGCTATGGATCACAACTTGTGTCACACCCCAAAACCAAGAACGGCAGAAACGTTCCGGGGTGGAGGACGTCATGTACAGTATCACAACGGTGTAAAGTAGTAAATAAGCAACAACATCATCCATTGCATTATAAGTAAAGTTTTAATACATGTGTTTTCTTTCATTGTAATAAGACACCAAAAATATACAGTCAAAATAAAAGATGAGACTTGTCTGTGCTCCGTCTTCTCAAAAACCTCGCCATCGTACCTGTCTACTGGTGAGCTAAGAATACAAGACATTAATTAAATAAAGGGGACTAGAATTGTCAATTGTGTGATAGTTTAATATTGGGCTAATGGACTCCATAGAGGATGGAGTGGACGAATTCTATGGGAAAACCCATGAGAAATCGTCCAAGGCCTCTAAGGAGGGAGTCCATGGGTTGCTTATGGCCTAAGCATTCAAATTAGGGTTTCCTTGTTAGATAACCCTAATAGCCTCACTATTTAAGGACCCCTAGGGCACCAAAAACGTGGTGAACTGGTTCCTTAGGGTTTCTACACGTTTTGGGCAGCCTCCTCTCTCCACATTCTTCATCCTCTTGCTCTTGGTGTTTGTGAGCCATTAGAGGAGTGACAATTGTGACTCTAATCTTTCTAAAGCCATTACAAGGAGGATTTGAGATTGTTATTGCTACATAACAATCAAGGTAAGATCTAAACCCCATTCTTATGTTAATATGATTAATTGTATGCTAGAACTAGGGTTCAAAGTTTTGGATGAATGCATCTACAATAGAGAAACCTAGATCCAATCATTAGGGTTTGCATGAGCACATAGGATGTTCTTATGGCCAAAACCCATCAGTGGTATCGGAACCATGATTGGTTTCTATTGTATTGATGCCTAGTATATTCATTCTTGCTATAAAATCGAATTTTTGGCCATCTGCCTGACAAACTCGTCGAGTCCATAAGGGGACTCGGCGAGTTTAGCTGTCAGACAGGCGGATTTTCGGGATTTTTACTGATTTTGACTTAGGATAATTGTCATAATTGTTTAAAATTAAAGAAATACGAATTTTATTGATTCCTTATGATTATCTTTGTCAAAATAAAAGATTTTGATCATCTAGTTAGATAATTGTTACCTTATTTGAGAAATGTTAAATTATTTGAATTATTTGATCATTATTTTGCAAGAATTTGAACTAGATCTAATTAGATAACCACCAATTAATTGTTAATTGTCTTATTTGAATTATGTGATCTAGAATATTCTTGATAAAGTTTGGAAAAGATTCAAAATCCCTGTAGGTTTTATAGTTTAAATTTGAACTCAAAAGTTTTGTTTTTGAAATTTAAATAAGTTAAACCCTAATGTTTTGAAATGTTTCAAAACTTGCCCTCAAGTTTTGGAGTTTAAAAGTTGATTAAAAGTTTAATTTAGAAATGTTAAATTCTAAAACCCTAGCATTGTTTTAAAAAGTTCAAATCACACCCTTATGGTTTTATTAATTAATTAAAGTGTATAATTAAAAGAGATTTAATAAACCCATAAAGTTTTGGTTTACATTTAATCAAATTAAAAGTGTAATTTATTAAATTAGACCACCTAGTATTTTAAAAGTGTAAAATATACCCTATACTATATATAACATTAAAAGTCTAGTATTATATATGTATGAGTAAAAGTCAGTCTTACCGTTAGTAGGCCTCATTCACGAAGTTGGTCTATAACGGGGTTTTAAGGATATTGCCTATAAAATGGCGACTGAATGGGTATCCACTCTTACCCACCGCACTTTTGACTAGTGGAGGGTCGTTAGCCGAATGGGTAGAATAGGATAGAAACCTTCCATTATAAGTATAATGAAGTACAAAGTAACTAAATTCTTTTAAAAAATTCCCAAATCTTAGTTACTTTAGGCAAAAGTGAATTGATGCAATTCCATGAAATTACACTTTGTGCCCTTGCGAAGATGTTAGTGGAGCGTGTGTGGTTAACCGGCACACTAAATGGTTCTAAGCAAAGGTAGCAAAGGGTGACTCATTGTTTGTCATAGTTCGGTGGAGCGTATGTGGTTAACCGGCACATCAAATAGGTGACTGTAACATTGGGGGCACCATGTAAGTTTGCATGGTTATTCACACCCTGTTTTGTGATCCTCAGCATCCCAGTCACAAATCGAGGGGCATATCAAGATTTAAACATGCCATTGAAAAGTTCAATGAATCTCAAAGGATCTAGGAGTTTTCAATACATTTAAAACTTAATCTATTTTCCGTTTTTCATGGTGGAAAATTAGTGAATCGTCATTCACTTACCTTCAAATGTTCTACAAATTGGGTTACGGGATCCCTCTCCCAAGTTGTGGAATATTCTGTTGTGTCCAAGCCTTAGTATCTCATTTGGGTGATTTACTAAGGACTCAATCAATCAACTAACTTGAATTTATTTTCTCCCATTTTGTAGATGTCTAGTTGTCACAATTATGGTCTTCCCAAGTCCCGTGGAACAAGCCTTCCACATGAGGATGATATTCCATGATTCGATCGAGGAACACGAGATGATGCTTCACTTCCTCCTCCTCCTCCTTTTATTCTCCCTAGCCCACAAGTTCAAAGGCTTGAAAAGTTCAAGCTCACTCAAGCCCTTTTGGCAAGTAAACATGAAGAAGGAAAGTCAGTGTGTGCACTCGTCCTAGAGATGAAGTCACACATTGATAGGTTAAGAATGTTGGGATCCGTTGTCTGTGAGGAGCTGGCTGTTGATTGGGTTCTTCAGTTGCTTCCTGACTCATATAGTGAGTTCGTAAGAGAGTACTATATGATGAACCACGACGTGACCCTTATCGATCTAATCTATATGCTTATTGCCGCTGAATCAGCAATGATTTGGCGCACTGAAAAAGCAAAGTTGATTGGTGGATCTGCCTTCCCGACCTCTATGGATATAGGCAATGGCAACGAAAGGCATGCCATGGTCGAAAAGTTTGATCATAAGAGAAAGGAAAGTTCTGAAGTAGTTCCATGTGTTGTTCCAAAAGAGTCAATTTGCTTTTATTTCCAAGAGAAGGGGCATTGGAGACGAAGCTGCCCAGTTTACCTGAGAGATCTAAGAGATGGGAGAGTCAATACATATGGCTCTGCTTCAGGTAACATCCGTTAACTAACTCTTTTAAGTTCCCATTCTAGATTCTTAATACATGATGTGATAAGATTACATTTGATGTTTTGTAGGATCGAAGAAAAGAAATGAAGCTTAAGGGAAGAAGTGAGCTAAATCTAATCGTGAAGAAATGGATTTTGATCGCATTACTTGAATATTGGATTCTTGAGCTACTACTTGGAATTAGAATAGATTGCTAAGAAATATCTATTAACATAGTTTTTCAATTGCATTGTAAGGACAATTTTTTCCGCAATAAAATAAATTTTGATTTTATATTATTTATTTATCCTTGCAATGTCATGTATGAAAAATTGATGTTGGAATGTTTCTATTATTAGCAATAATGGATTTGATTCTTAATTATGTTATTTGTGGAAATGTCGAGAATTTACCAAATAGGAAGAGTTTCTCATCGCCCAAGTTTCAAGTGGACAGAAACTTGGAATCATGCAACAAGTATTGTATGATGAATGAAAAACTTTCACATTTGGGAAATTTAGACTAATTCTTTGACAAAGTGTCAATTGAAGGACTAGGAGATTGAGTACACTAGGTCGTACGTTGATCAAGTCTACCACAAGAGTGACAAAGTTATTCATCATGATTCACTAAAGTTTAGTGAATATGATTATACTTATAAGATTGAGTATAATTCTAAATTGATTGAAATAGTTTCAATCACTAGCAGAACGAATAAAAAGAATCAACTAGGCAGAAAGATAAAAGTTTCTTTATTCTAAGAAGATGGGAGAGTACCTTTTATTATGTTTTATGATATGTCTTAATGATTGAGAACCATATCTCAATTGATCCTCTAAGTGAGTCTTAGTGCAATTATATGTCTAAGAAGAGGAATCGAGAATTGAAGAAATGGTTAAATCAAGAAGTCAATCATACTTCGTTCCGAAACCAAGTCTTAGAGTTAAAGATTGTGACATTGAGTGACAAGTATAAAGAAGGTTTATAACATTCATCAAATGTAGAATTTGGAAAAAGGTTTTCTTATTCTTGCACATTTGAAATTGGTAAGTTGTGATGTCTTGGATAAGACAAAGACCAACGAGGACCAATTTGTGAAATGTTTTGTCTTGATAAAACTGCACTAACTCTTGAATATTCATTTGTAAAGAAATGTTTCTTAACAAAAGAATCTTATATAGCAAGGAGTCAGTGGGAGTCTTATTGGTCTTGAAAAGTTTAAAGAACAAATCAAGAATAATCCTAGCACACGACTTGAGGTTTACAACCTATCGTGTTGACACTATTTTGTTTATGTGCCATTCCAATTGAGTTAATTATGCATATGAGTTCTATGAGTTCTCATTTGAACGTATAAAAGGCAAGCGCCTTGATCAATGAAAAGTACATTGATAGGAAAGGGTGAGCTGCTTAACTACTTGGAAGACATGGTGGGCACTAGTGTTTCCATAAGGCAAGAAATCAAAATTGAGAAAGTTCAGTCCATATGAGTTTGGATTTGTCGCAAACTTTGGTTTTGAAAAATTCACATGGATAGGAACACATACACCATTAAAATCTAAGTGTCATAAGATTACTTCCTTCATGAAAATGATTGTGAGGAAATGCTTTCACTAAGAGAGATTTTAAGAAGATAGTGATTGTAAAATTGTATTCTCGAATTCAATTATTGTTACGGTATCCCTTTCAATAATTCGAATTGTGAGATTTGGCAATTAGTCTGAAGTGTTCAGACACACATATGAGCTATCTAAGGAAAAGGTGTATAAGTTTAAGAAGCTTAG